TGGCCGCACAGTCCCTGTTCCTAGCCACGGCGACAGCTGACTCCGGTCCACATCAGCCAGTCCTGCAGGGATACCTCTGCGGCCAGAGAAAAATCACCAAGAGGCCTTGCCACGAGGAGAGAAGCATGCGAGGCCCTGATGACTGTGGGGCATCCCTGTACGTATCACAACCAACCTGCATCGACCAATTACAAACTGGGCAGAGGATCTGCATGGAGCTTTCTCCAAAGAAGATATGCAAATGGTCGAGAGGCCCGTGAAAGACGCTCAACATCATTGTTCATCATGGGGGGTGGGGGGGAGAGAAGCAAATCAAAACCCCCACGAATAAACCCCTTCACACCCACCGGGGCGGCTAGAACAAGAGGCAGACAGTCACAAGTGCCGACAAGGGCGTGAAGTCACCAGAGCCCTCTGTGCGCTGCTGGTGGGGACGCGCATTGGGGAACAGCCTGGCAGCTCCTCCAAAGGTCGGACGAGGAGTCACCCCGTGGCCCAGCAAGTCCACTCCTAGGCAGACACCCAAGATGACCGAACACACACGTGCACAAAAGCCGGCATGTGAATGCGCAGCAGCACTATTTATAAGAGTTGCAAAGTACAGATAATCCAAACGCCCATCAGCGGAGGGGGTAAGCCAGATGCGGCCTATCGTGACCACGGAATGTTATTATTCGGCCTTAAAAAGGGCCGTAGCATCCCACAGGCTACGTGGAGGGACCTTGAAGACATGATGCTGCACGAAAGGCTACATGTTGCGTGATTCCATTTATATGAAGTAGCCAGAGTGAGCAAATTCGCAGAGACAGGAAGTAGATTGGTGACCCCCAGGTGCTGGGGCTGGGGAGGTGGGAGGTGGGAGGTGAGAGCGGGGTTTCTCTGGGGCGACGTAAGTGTTCTGGAATTAGGGAGGGGTGGCGGAGAAGCAAGTATATCGCTGAGTTTTATGCTTTAAAGGGTGGACGTATGGCATGTGCATCCCATCCCAATAAAGCTGCTATTAAAACAGATCTGCCTCGAATAGTTGCAGGAGCACAAATGGAGACCCACAGACCATATGCCTAAATATTTCAAAATCAAGCAAACAAGCTGTTAAATAAAATATGCTCCCTTCTCTTACCTTGACAAAAATCCCTCCATGGTGACAAAACTGAAAAGTACGTGTAAAGTGATGGCTTTCATGTGCGTGAGAGCTGACGTGTTTGGGTGCTCTGTTGACGGACCGGCTGTGTTTGGACAAGTGGTAAAATAAAGACATGCAAACCTCAGATTATTATCGTTTTATTCCGTAAAAACGTCCATGCTTCCATTTCCCCAAAGTCCCTCCTTTGTGTTCTAGGAACAGGAGTAATCTGAAATGACTGCAGAAATAGCGCTTTCATCAAAAGCATAGACAATCGTAATTTAAGTTTTTAAAAATAATTTTCAAGAAAGTATTTATCAAAAATGTCCACAACCATTTCTTGAAATGAAGAGGCAGGGACAAGTGCTAATTAGTACAACATTTGAAATCAAATCTGAATCTTCATTAGTTTTTTGAACATTTAATGAAACGTCATGCAACATTTTTGACAACAGAACACTATCGGCCATTGTAGCGTCCACAGCACACGAGCGGGTCGCGCAGAGCACGGCGCCACGCTCGCGCACGCTCCACCTGGACTCACACACACACACATGAGGAGCGAGACGCATTGTTTGAACATCGCAAGGCGGCCCTGGCTGGTTTGGCTCAGTGCGTAGAGGGTCGGCCTGCGGAGTGAAGGGTCCTGGGTTCTTTTCTGGTCAAGGGCACAAAATATGTTTACAAAAACAAAAACATTGCCCTAACCGGTGTGGCTCAGTGGATAGAGCGTCAGCCTGCGGACTGAAGGGTCCCAGGTTCGATTCTGGTCAAGGGCATGTACCTTGGCTGTGGGCACATCCCCAGTAGGGGGTGTGCAGGAGGCAACTGGTCGATGTTTCTTTCTCATCGATGTTTCTAACTCTCTATCCCTTTCCCTTCTTCCCTGTAAAAAATCAATAAAAGAGATATATATCAAAACAAAACAAAACAAAAAAACATTGCAAGGTCAATGGCCGTGGGCGTCATTACGGATTAATTCACAAGAACCACCGGAACCAGGAGTTAGTACGTGAGGAAGAGCAAGAGAACGGAGTCTTGGCCCTGGTCTGAGAGACTGGGGGACACTGCAGGCCTTCCTGGGGTCACCCCTCAGGGACGTGCCAGGTGCTTGGTGCACACTTTGCACAGCTTTCCTCGCCCAACTTTGAATATATATTTCTATTGATTTCAGAGAGGAAGAGAGAGAGAGAGAAATATCAATGATGAGAGAGAATCATTGACCGACTGCCTCCTCTAGGCCCCACACTGGGTATGGAGCCCGCAGTCTGGGGTAGGTGCCCTGACCGGGAATCGAACCGTGATGTCCTAGTTCCTAGGTTGATGCTCAACCACTGAACCCGCTGGCCGGGCATTGCACAGCTATGGGCTCAGACTCAGGCGGTTAAGCCAGGAGGGGCACGAGGGACGCCCCACACCCAGCCCCATGCCTGTCCCTTCTGGCCTGAGCATTCTGAGCCCAGGTGGCCATCGCCCGCCCTCCGCACCCCACACCTCCACGCAGTCCCCAGGCCTCCAGCGACTCCCGCCCCTCTCTCTCCGCTGCCCCGCACTCTCCACTGAGCCAGCCAGGCCTCCGCCCCTGCAGCCCCCCTTTCTGGAACACTCTCCTGAAACCTCACACAGTCAGCGTCTGTGCAGCCTCCTTGGCCAGCCACGGACGCAGGTGGGGACTGGGGGCGTGGGGACGTGATTAGCTCAGACTGGCCCTGGTCCAGTGAGGATGAGGGACAAGGCGTCCCCATACGGACCTGGAGTGTGGCTGGCAGGGGCGGTGGTATTGGGGGGCAGTCAGCCCCATTTGACCAGTCCCACCAGGACGGAGCGCAGAGTGCGCCCCTCTGTTTGTAGATCGGGCTTGGGGGTCAGGGGGATGGACTTGCTCAAGATCCCACACAATGCAGCGGGGGGCTGAACCCCAGCTTCCAAAGCCACAGGCGGCATTCTTCCCGCCCGCGGCGTGGGATGAGTTCTCGGGTGACAAGACCCCT